GGCCCAATGTCACAGATTTTTGCAAGAATCATCTCTTTATATTCACTGAATCTTTATATTGTTTATAACGATTATTAATTTTAAAAAAAAAAGAGATGAGATAAGAAAATTAATTATAAAAAAATAAAGTATATATAATAATGCAGACATAACTTTAGTTCAAATTGTGGAAAATGTGTTCCTTCAATTTTAAGTGAAAATGGAAGACTCAAGAGTTTAAATAGATTGCATTGTAATTATAGGGAAGATAATATTAACAACAAAACTATGTTATTATTGTAAAGCAATTACTGCATGTAAAAAGATGCAGTCTTTATAATATACATATATTATATTATAATATATGTAAATATAAACACTAAACAAAAATATAGAATAAACTATAGTCTTAATTATACAAATCATAATAATAATAATTGTGTAAATTGTAAAGAATTAATACAACCACAGAACAGCCACAATGTTCAGCTTCTGCTTCATGATATCCCAAGTCTGTATGAACTTTTCACCTTTGCACATCTGTAAATGTTTTTCAGAATGTAAATTTGCACTGGAGTTTGCATTTGTGAAATATCAAAATGCCTTATTAGCAAGCATGAAACGAGTTTGAGAATGTTAGCAGTGCGGGCACACTATAATGATTTGGCATATGAAGAGACGAGACGATAAACCAGCATATCAAAATGCTAAATAGAAAGCGCGATAAAATCCATTATGCCAGTGCAGAAATGAAAGGCCTAACTCTAGTTGCACTTAGTAAATGAAACTCTGCAAACGACACACCATGCACGCTGTTTTATGAAATCCTGCTTTGTCGCTGTGGGGAGTCTATGCAGAGACAAATTCTTTGTTTCTCTACTGTATTTGCAAGCTGCACACTGCTAAATATGAATGCTTAGCTAACCTCATCACTGGGATTTAAGATGTGGTTGTTTATTTATGCATTTTGTTGATGATAAAAGCCCTCATTTATGCATAAGGGGGAGAAGAGACAAGGGTAGTTCAGAAAATGTCATAACGACTAAAACGGCCAGATCTAAACTACCTCTATGAGGTAGCCGCTGCGTGGGAGAGGGGGGTCACTACTATGACTCATTACGTGTGGCAATGACTAATTCAACCTTAACTTTTAGAGAGGTCAGATGACTTATATCAAAGCCGGGGTTTTAATGGCCCTTGTCACAAGATTCTGCATTCAAAGGAAGATAAAAATCAAATGTTCTGCCAAAAATAGTCATGTCAACAAATCCGAACTGAACAAGTTAAATGATCTTCAGGGTGATAGGTGACAGGCCCTTAATCAGCCTAACATCTCCTTTTATGCTCCACAGAAGAAACTAAAGTCATATGAGTTTTGAATGGTAAATTAGAACATCCCACCCGGAGGATGGCACAAAAAAAGAACATTGAATTACAACAGAATATTATATTATAGGCCTACTAGGGCCACCATATTGGTATCAGCCGATATATGATCCTTTTTAAAGGTGCATTGCGTAACTTTTCATGTTAAAAAATACCTAATACCTGTTTTTCTATCCTATACATGCTTAAAGAACTGCCTGATGGGCTGAATGAGCCCTTCTCTGCGCACTGAGATTGCCTCTATAATCCTGTACAGTAAAATATATAAGAGGGATTCGGGCTCGAATTTGAGACTGGGCGTGACGTCATGCGCGTTCACGCTCACCAGGCTATGTCTCGCAGGTTTGTGTATTCGCCGGCGCCGCCATTCTCAGCATCAGCGAAGACAACTCGTGCGTCAAAGGTAGAAGATTGATTCAAAGAGACCGGCTTGTAGTCCATTCCAAACCCCAACGCAAACTCCACGTAAAGTAAAGAAAATAAAAAATTTGTCTAGTGCCACCAAAAGGTCCAAATTGGAGTCCGACAGGCGTCGGAGTAAGACGAGAGTCAACCTCGGGAAGGCATTCAACAAAAGGAGAGATCTCCGGTCTGCTCTTGGTTTTAAACAGGATCCTCAGTTGGCTTTTTTTCTTGATAAAACGGTAAGATATAGCCCAGTTTCTAATGTTTGATACGGCCAATTGAATGACAACAAATGACGATGCGTAAAATGTGTAATGCTTTAGCGTAAGCTAGATACATGTACAATCAGAATTGGTTTTACTACCATTGTTAGTGAACAGTTTCATAAACTAGGAATTGTGTTCGGAAGAATAGTACAACATGAAACATAAAACATATCCAATAAAAGATGCGTGTGGTCCATGAGCGTGCACAACTCTGGTTGCAGTTTCGCTTGTCGCCAGAGGGGGCGTAGTTCTGCAAAAACTCAGAGACTTGCGTTTTGCACCTTTAATGTTATCGACCCGATAAGAAAATTTGGCAGAAATATTAAAGCCGATTAATAATGTATTATTTCCTTCAGCTGAGACACTTTAGATGCGCACTGTTCGCTATGATAGTTTTAAATTGCTTGAAATATGATTGGAATCACGAAAAAATACAGTTAAGTGCAACATTTGCAGCGCAAGACTGTCATATAGGCTATAGGAAGGTACAATTCATTTTAAAACTTACACTGATTCAAACGAGGCTACTGTACTGTATAGGTTTGATTTATTGAAGTATTTGGGACATGGCTTTTAATGGTGAGACTTCTGTTTTTGTAATCAGGCTCTCAAAAATTATATAAAAATGTGGTTTTAATTTATCAGCCAATATATTGGTTATCGGCTTTCAGATGTAAAGAATTATCGGTTATCGGTCTCGGCCAACATTTTCATATCGGTGCATCCCTACCTACTGTTATATTATGGGCCTATATTATTTGATAGTATATTTATCATATGCATTTGCGTAAGCCGCGTAACACGAGTTTGTTCCTTCATTAGTATTCGTGCGCCAAATGTGAAAGTGATGTAGTGTAAAACACATTTGAAAAGCATGATAATACCAGGTGAAAACGGTAATGTGTTCTGGCTGACCATTTGCGATCAGATCACCAAAAACACATCTTAATATCAGGTGGAATTGGAAACAGGGCTTCTCTCTCGCACACTCGATTTACGGGATATTGTATATAATTTGCGTGCATCAGGGAGCCGCCATCAATATGCGGGAGACTCCAGGACCTTCCGGGAGAAGTGGGATGTCTGTAAATGATGAATGAATTTTCATTTTTGGGTGAACTATGTCACTTATGTCTAAAGTGTTAATGCTATTTATCAAAACAACACAGTAGAAAACACATTCAAATGTGGCCACATTAGCATGCAAATTGAATTGTTTCAAAAGTTCACAGGCCCACAGATTTTTGCAATTCAAATCAACCAGCTAGGCTGAAGTGTTAATTTGGGTAAAAAAAAAGAAAAAGAAACACAGACCAGCATTGGGGTTTGACTGTTTTGAGGAGGCTGCATACCTCCAGAGTCTGCAATTCTACACAAACCTATTAGTATTATAATATATATATATCCATCAATGGAGCCAACAGACAAAAGTATCAGACCTCAGAGGAGAAGGGAGAATCCATGATAGTGCAAATGTAAAAAGGGGATCCATTATCTGTCATGGGAGGATCAGATGATATCACATCAATGCAAGCCAACAGCCCAAGTAATGCAAATAAAATAAACCTGTTTAAAAGAAATTACATAAATACTCAAGCATTTATGTTTCTTAACTTCTAAGACAGAAATGGATAAAAGGTAGGACTACATTCCGTAAATTGTTGTTTACATTTATATGCTCTTACTCATCCCAGTATTACTAGTGGTTTAAGACTAAATACTGACACCTATTGGCCTGGATGCATTAAGTTTAATGCCCCCCCACCCCCATAAAATATTTTAAGATATGTCAGTGCAAGTTGCTTTCAGTTAAAACAGCTCAAACATGCTTTTTAGTCTGGGGCTATAGCTTAAGCCTTGTCTGTGAAACCGGGGGAAGGTTTCTCATGTTTATCTCATGTTCATTTGTATTTTGTTTGAACAGTCTGATGGGTGACACTCACACACCTATGCTTTGTCAGTACAGTAGTTGTCATAATCTATTTTTACATTTATGCTTTGTAAAGCATCCTGAGCACTGGCTAAATTAAAGTTTTTATTAGTAACAGTCAATTGTATCACACAGTCATGTGATCCCAACATGGTGGCACCCATGAACGACCCTCTCCATGTAGAATAAAACATTAAACTATATTGACATTTGTGCGTGTGTCAGACCTGCAAACTCAGAAGAAGAGAAAAAGGTGACATGTTTGTTAACTATATGTGATTGGGGGGTGGGGGGGTCTGGGGGAATCAAATTTGTTGTGATTTTAACTGTAAACGAAGCATTTTAGTGCACTCTGACAAGAAAATAAAGGGAAAATACTACATTTACATTTATTGAGCGTGTGTGTATTGTGTCTGTGTGTAGGCTATGTGTTATTTTAATACTATTTCTCAACCTTTCAAACCCTTTAAGTAAAAAATGACTGCATGCACCTTCAATTAAACAGAAGTGTAGTTTCAATATAAGGCCGTGACGCGTGTATTGAGTCTCTGCTTTTATGTTCCTGTGAGAATATTAATGTGCGCTACGTGACCAGTAAATGCAAGAAAATCAATCAGACGCAACGGGGGCGTGACAGTTTGCAGCTCGAATGATTTACCTTCAGACTGGAGGCTTCCCCCAGAAAGCAAACAGCTAAAAACGAACTGAAAACCCTTATTGCTTCATTATCTCTGAAGAATACAAGAAGAGCTGCGTGATGCCACCTAAAATCCTGCTGCATCACCGCCTCCACTGGATCTGCCTTTTTAACACATCTCCCTCTTCCTGCCCGCGACTCAATTAACATCAATCCATAGCTGAGAAAACCATCGCAACAATCTCGCACCTCAAAACCATTCAGTCCTACACATTAATAAATGCGATCGAAACGTCTTAATTAGCTGAGACAACATTTGTACGCACGACATCCATATTTAACACTGGTCACAAATGAAAGATGCAAGTAGAAGAGAGGGAGGAAAATATGCACTTACATTTCACTATCCGATCGGTGGAGTTCAAGACCATGTCAGCGTTAGACATCTTCATGGGCAGTGGATGTCTCCAGGCGAATGTGTTTCTCCCTCCTCGCAGAAGAAGCGCTTTATTGTCGGCGTGTTTTCGGTTGGTGCAGTGGCATCACTTGGATGCGTCTACTCCGTGTCTCACCGCCGGATAATGCTGGAGAGGGTGGAGGAGGACGATAGTGCTGCTGTTGCTGAGACTGTCGTGAGGGGGAGGATGGAGCTGCTGATGGGGTGGGGGCGGTAGAGAGATAGAGAGAGAGAGAGAGAGAGAGAGAGAGAGAGAGAGAGAGAGAGAGAGAGAGAGAGAGAGAGAGAGAGAGAGAGAGAGAGAGAGAGAGAGAGCTCGGGAGATCCTTTCAGCGCGTTGCACCACCCCGACATGGCGAAGCGGGGAACTCCCACGCACGCACCCGGGTGAAGGGGCTGCGTGATGCTGCCATCAGGTGGAGGTGAAGGGCTTTCCCCAGAAGGCGCGGCTCGCTCATCGCCATGACTGATAAATCAAGTTGAAATGCAACTCGGGTCTGGACGAATGTGTCCCGCATCATGTGTGACATCGTCCCATTATACCATCATTAGGAGTGGTGAGTTTTATTAAATCGTATGAAAATAGATTGATAGAACGTTACGGGTAGGTTAGGGGAAAGTTCTGTGATAACTAAAACATAAAAAATACAGAATATTTTAAGGTAGGCCTATGTCTATAGCAGGGGTGGGGAACGTTGATCCTGGAGGGCCACTGTCCCGCAGAGTTTAGCTCCAACCCTGAAAAAAACATTCAGCTGCCTGTAACTTTAGTAATCTTGAAGACCTTGATTAGCTTCAGGTGCTGTGTTTGATTAGGGTTGGAGCTAAACTCTGCAGGACAGTGGCCCTCCAGGATCAACGTTCCCTTACAATGGATATGGTATATTTTTTAAACAAAAGTTGTGAATACTTTAAAAACGATCGCGACAATCGTTTCCTCCAAAATCAAATTATTTTGTTTTAGTTTATCACTGTATAAAAAAAAACTGACCTTAAAAAATGAGTTGGATCTTGTACAACTTTCTCTCTACCGCCCCCACTCAGCAACTCCAAAGTTAAAAATTGCTTAACTTATTTTGATGAGTTAAAGCAATGCAAAAACATGTTTTGGGAACATTCACAGAACGTTCTGGGAACCAAAAATTTTTTAGCTGGTAACGCGGAGTTTGAGTGCTATTTTAAACGGGAGTTGGATTATGATCACAATTATAGTAAATGCCACTTAAAAAAAACTGTCAGTAATAATAAATAAGGCATTAAAAATACAGAATAGTTTTAAGGTATAGTTACAATGGATGTGGTATATTTTTAAACAAAAGTTATGAATAGGCTACTTTAAAAACGATTGTGACAATCTAAAAAAATGTTTTGTCCATCACTGTAAGTAGTTGCTGCCTTAAATTTGTAAGTACAATCAAATTGGATGTTTAAGTTATTTCAACTTAAATTACATTAAACCTATTTAAAAAAGAGTTGAATCTTGTATAACATATAAAAGTACAAAATTGCTAAACTTATTTTGATTAGTTAAAGCAATGTAAAAACATATGTCATACAGTATACTTTTTTTACAGTATTCTATCATTACTAAAACAGTGATAATTTGTAGCCTATGTGTAAAAGAAAAGACATAAGGCAAAAGACAACGATTTTTGTAGTAATAAATGATTGTAGTACATATGTAGTACATATGGTATTTCAGTGTTACCTATTAAACAAGAGATGATGAAAAAAGCTTAAATCAGCCTAAACTGGTTTAAGCTGACCAGCTGAAAGGTACCCTCAAACCACTCTAAAGCCAGCCAACAGACAGATGAGCAAACCAACTTGGTTTAAGCTGGGGTTTTTTTTTAGCAGGGCTATGGAGATTCAACCAAAATTGCAAAATACAATTATAAAATGTATTACTGTAATTGGTACTTCACAAAAAAACTGATATTAAACAAAAATTACATAAAATTCAATAATCAAAATCACAGAATGTGCAGTAGTAATGGACAGAAGTAAGTAATGGTATGGTACATTTTGTAAGATAAATAAAAAAGTTAAACAACAGCTAAGGCTGATTTGAGAATGTGATCATCACATTAGTATCTTTCCTTGCTGGTGAAAAACAGCTGCAGTGAACTCCCAGTGGTTCAGAGGGCTGAGCTGTTTTTGCATTACTAGAGTTATGCAATACCGTATTCTTCCCATAGAGGTCAGGGCAGGCTAAAGTTATGTGAGCACAAACTCAGCTGCGGAGTTTCAAGCCACATTCACCATCACCACACAGTGCAGTAACATTCATTGTTGCCGCATTCAAGTTGATTTGTACACTGTATGTTCAGAGCATACATGTGCACTGAAGTACAGATTCAAAAAGATATTAGAAATTGTATTTTTCACTAAAATGTGCCACAAACATTGAAAGCAGCAGAAGTACCAAACAGCAGTCATGATTGTTTATGAGATTGTCAATTTTCAGCATCATTACTCCAGTCTTTAGTGTCACATGATCCTTCAGAAATCATTCTTATATGCTGATTTGCTGCTCCAGATTTGTTTTATTTATTATTAATATCAGTGTTGAAAACCGTTGTGCTGCTTAATATTTTTGTAAAATATAATTGTCAGGTTGTTCCTTACATTTTTTTTGGTTGTAATTCTTGTTCTTGTTTTAGAGCCTGGGAGTTTGTTGCATGGAAAAGAGTTGTATTCTTCAATATCAATACACCCCCTTTCTGTTCCATAGCAGAAAGTCATACTGGTTTGAAAAGACATCTGGGTGACTAAATGATGAAGGAATATTCCTAAATATAAAAAGGGTTAGTTCACTCAAATGAAAATTATGTCATTAATTACTCACCCTCATGTCATTTCAATCCCGTAAGACTTTTGTTCATCTTCGGAACACAAATTAAATCTTTTTAATTAAATCTAAGAGATTTCTGTCCCTCAATTGACAGCTACGCTACTACCAGTTTCAAGGCCTAGAAAGGTAGTAAAGACAACATTTAAGTAATCAATGTGACTCCAGTGGTTTAACCTCAATTGTATGAAGCGACGTGAGTAATATACCACTTTATTTACTAGTTTCGAATTGACAAAACAAAACCAATCCAATCAGGCTTTGTATATGACTGTTCATCAACTTTCTCTGTCAACTCAGGCTTTGATCCTGAGTTTAGGAGTTTAGGTGTGACATCAGTAGCCATCAGCCAAACACATGCTGTGGAACAGTGAAACTGCGATTGACTTTTCTCTTCTGCAGAAGATTACGAGATTGAAAAATATTAATAAAAAATACATACAATCATAAAAATACAAGAAGAAAAGAGCTGTCTATGAAATAGGACAACTAAAACTTATATCAGTGCAAGTAAAACCTGTGAAGTTAGTTTCTATAGTTGACATGAACATTTAAGTTCACATGTAGCCTAGTCATTTTATAGCTTTATCTGTTATTCTAAAGCTTATTTATATGACCTTTATACGTTTATATTCATTTAAACTAAGTGCATAATAATTGATAAACTAAAATTGTACATGTGTAATGGACTATGGGTAAAATAATTACATAAATAATATCTAAATCATACAAAATTATTTAAGCATTGCTAAAAGCTTTTTTTTTTAAAGACGATTGGTCTTTAAAAATCATTTGCTATGTAGTGACATCTAAATTGGAGTAGAAACAGGGGGAGTGACTTTATTGCATCAGACATGTGTCACTTTGCTCACAGCCTATTGATCCAATTTCGGTTTGAGATCTCTTACCTGGAACATAACCTGCCCCGGAGCAGGTTAGCTGTAGCACAAGTTACTATGGGGATGAACACTTCTAAAAGCCAAACCACTTTCATGGTGCCTTAAACCCGGGGTAGGCACAAACTAAACTAAAACATATCTGGCTAGCCAACTTAACCGGCTTTATGGTATAGGCCCCAGATGTTGCGTGAATGTATGTTGGAGATTAATATTTTGTAAATAAATAATGTTTTTTTTGTTTGTTTGTTTTTACAAAAAGCACTTGCATCACTTTCTACACATGGGTTACTTAAATGTTGAGGCTTGAAAGTGGTAGTTGCGTAGACTGTCAATGGAGGGACAGAAAGCTCTCAGATTTCATAAAAAAATATCTTCATTTGTGTTCCAAAGATGAACGAAAGTCTTACGGGTTTGGAACGACTTGAGGGTGAGTAATTAATGACAGAATTTTCATTTTTGGGTGAACTATCCCTTTAAGGAGTGCTAGCAACATTGATAAGCATTAACTGAGTGACTTCAGCATAATCAGATCTAAATCACTTCTGGATTTATGACTCATGCGAAAGCAAATATTTTCTGTCAATACCTATCAATGATTTGCTTACCTATTGCCTAGTTGCCTCTGCATATTAAACTTTGGAATAAGTGAAAGTAACAGAAAAACAAACACACTACTTGTTCTAAGAAGGCCTACACAATGTAGCCAAATGACCACCAGATGGTGATCTTTCATTGTATGTTTTTCTCATACGTTCTTTCTCTGAATGACTAGAGAACGCTAGATTCCTTCTTTCCTACATCATGATGCATCTGTTCTTTGTTTCATAGTCCTTTTGACACTTTAACATGCGCAGTTGGGCTGATGTTTCGTGTTCAGGAATCCCTGGTGAGATCCAAACATTTTTACATTGTACCCTAGCGGATCTGCCTTACCAGCATCTCATGTGAAAACATCAGTATGAGACCACACCTGTTCCACTGATGACAGTCATTTGGCTTTTGAGTTTCTCCTCCCCTAATTCACTTTTGCCTGCCAGTGTTAAGATGGATCTCTATGCTGCAGGGCTCAGATGGAGCTCTCTTGCTCTTATACTACTGGGTCACAGACAGAGAGATAGTCATCTTTTCAGGGACAGCTTTTCACAGAGCCATATGCTCTTGAACGCAGAGGGAGAGTCAAAGTGTGTCCCATAATCCAACACTTGGAAACAGTCTAGAGGAGACAAGAGATGCGTTAAACAACAATGCAACTTTGAAAAACAACCGCACAAATGACGCATTAGCAGAACAGATGATCCAGAATGATGGGAAGCTTGTTGTGCTGAGGCGGCGGTGGGAGGTGAGCATGTAAAGGAGTGCAGGGCTGTGCCTCGGGGCAGAGAGGAGAGAGCAGCACTGCGGTGTTTGTTTGGAAATCGCACACAGCTCACAACATTCCTGAGCTTCTGCGAAACCGGA